CTCATAATTTTCCCGAATGGCCGATTTTTTTCCGGGCCGTTCCTCGGCATCCTGGATTTTCAACGTGCGACATAAGTAACATAAAGCTAAACATATTAATGAGTCAAGCCTAGAGAAATGCGGTAGGGCGGTCGCCAAAAATAAAAATAAATACAAATTCTTTTTATTATTATTATTATTTTTTTTTCTGCCAAAAACAAAAATAAATAAAAATTATTTTTATTATTATTATTATTATTATTTTTCAAAAGCACCATTCCTAATTATGAAAAATGTCAATGATCGAAAGCATCTTCCCAGGTCAAGTTAGCCCCATTCAATCACAGCTTTGCAATTCTTGCATCCAATGAACTTTTTTTTGAACAGTTTCTGCTTGAATTTCCTTCCAGGATGTCAGAATACGCTCCCGGAGCTGCTGTTTGGATGTGAGACCGCCTCCCAACATCATAAATCTTTCGCAACTGCCTCATACCTTCATAGAAATTTTGCCGAACTCATTCAATGCCAAGGACGTTTTTTTTTCTCCAGTCTCCAGGCGGAGGAATTTTTCACGGCATAAGATCGTCATACATCAGAATGACTTTGTTTGGCAAAGTTCTGTTCATAGTTTTGTACGCTAAACTTAGGCTAACAATCGAAGGCCGAGCGACTACATTCATTGCTAGCAAGTAACAAGCTAGCAAGGCTAGCTGCTTGATCCCAGATGTCGATTTAAAAATGAAAACTGTTGCACAACTCGACTCAGCGGGTGTGAAGGTGCTAAGTGGAGACGATGGCGTGACAACGGTGCAAAAAGGTGATGAATGGCGTTGTTTGGTGTACAGAGTTTGTCGGCGCGGACGCGACAAAGTTGATGGCAGTCACACAAACGACGATGGACCAAGGGCGGCGTGGAAAAGAAAAAAGGAGGAATGCCGTACCTTTCACTACCCTATCCAGATAGTGAGCTTGGGAGATAAAAGACAAGGACAATATCGTAAGGGAAGGCAGAGACAGCAAGGCAGAGTGTTAGTGCACCGCAAAAACAAAAAGAAAGCAGGCATCACAAGCAAAGACGACAAGCACGAGCCAACACAAGGATGAAAAGGAGCCACGCGGACTCCCGTAGGACGGCGCGCGTCTCGCGGGAGCCTTTTCAAAGAGCGATTGATGCACGAGGAGTTCACGGTCTTTTTGACGGCGGGACGTTTTCATCTTCAAACGCACCCCGGCAGACGCCGAGGTCCAAACGAGTCGCCTTGATTGTGACAATCGATTTTAAATGCTGATCTTTGGCTTCTTAATGGACGCCGCGCAGGGATATTCGACTCGAGACCTCAAAACGGTCCATCAATAATTAAAAATTCAACAGACTGGGCTGACAAACGACAATAACTGAGGAAAAGCTTTCACCTTGAAGGCTGAGATAAGCGTCTCCTTTGACGCAATGTGACCGGCTGCATGTTTAACCACAAAAAACGTCCCCGGGTCACTGTGGCCCACGAGATATTTGACCACAAAAACGTCCCCGGGTCACTGCGGCCCCTGAGATATTCTACCATAACAATGTTAATGGGTCATTATGACCCACCGCATGTTTAACCATAAAAACGTGCCTGCGTAACCACAGCCCGCTGTAGATTATACCCTGAAAATGTAGATGGGTCAATGTGACCCGGTCCAAGTAAGGTGCTGCATGTTTAACTGTAAACATTTCCATGGGTCAATGTGACCCACTGCATGCTGAACCATAAATACGTTCACGGCTCAATGTAAGGGGCTGCACGTTTAACCGTGAACATTTCCACGGGTCAATGTGACCCGATGCAGGTTTCCACAGTAAATGTCCCCTGATCGGAGTGACTGCATGTTGAACAATAAAAATGTCCCTGGGTCAGTTTGACCCCGTTGCATGTTTACCTATGTCTAAAAATGTGCATGGGTCAATGTGACCCGCTGCATGTCTTTTGGCATCTTCACTTTTGAGTCACAAACTGGCATTTTTGGTGAATCTTAAGCCAAGTTCTCCTGCCAAGTCTTGGAGGATGCAAGAACGAAAGTTTTTCTTTCCGGTGAAAGAAGAGTGTTGACTCTTGGTTTTGGTGTTTATATCGACGTTGAACGCAATATTGAGGATGCAAAAACGAAAGTTTGTTGACTCTTGGTTTAGGCGGTTTTGGTGTTTATATCGACGTTGAACGCAATATTCTGTGGTTCTTGAAAGATCAGTCTTCATGCTCTAACATGGTTGGCAACAGAGAAATCTGCTTTGAAAACAGCTGGAGGTGATTGAGTGAATCATCGCAAAAAGTCGGTAAGACGGAGGAACCGCATGCTTCGTTGCAACGCCTTAGCTCCGCCCACAGTTGTCACGGTTAAGTAGGCCGTATTTTTAACCTCCCCCCCAAAATAGTGATTTCAACGAGTGTTTGACAAGTGGGTGTCAATTGTGCTGGTATTCTATTGAGTATTGGCACCACATATATTTTTTTTTAAACACGTCATGAATTTTCTTTCTGTTCCCTTTTTAGCTCTTTGTATCACTGCCCAATCAATTTATTTACGATACCGTCTTGGGTTAAACGTTAAAATGGGTTCGTTTGTCCAGTATGGTAACAGGAGGCTTCTTAAGTCGTCCCCGAGTTTCATTTCGCCCTAAACTCAAGTGCACTCTTCTTCCCAAGGGTTGTTGTTGTTGGAGAGCAAACAAAGAAATTAGAAAACCTCCAACAAGTCTCAGGAATCGACTCCTGCAATCGAAAGGTTACCCGTTCCCCCTCGGCGGGGGCTCCCCCAGAGGGAACGCAAAGGCGCTTGGCTTCTCGTTAAGACCGGAAACAGAAACACAACTTCTGAATGCTCCTGAAGAGTTGGCGCGCACGCCACTGAAGGTCTTCAACGAAACATTTGAAATAAGGGCACAAATCACACGGAGAGGAAGAACCAGGATTTAGACCAAGTCCCTACAAGTCGTTATTCACTATTTAAAAAGACATAACATCATAGTCCATCGAAATTTTTTTTTTGTGGAGCCCCAAGCTCCGACTCGGGCACACCAATATGAGATCCGCAGATTTTGACAGCGTGACCTCCAGATGACCCTGCGCTCTTGACGTTGAGCGGCTCTGACAGCCCTGACATTAAATAGCGGGGCGCTAACTAAATAGAAAGGCACCTGTTCTGCCGCGCTCCAGTCACACTTCAAAACCTGTCAATCCTCACAATATCCGTCTTCGTCATCATCCTCATCATAACCCAAATCCATAAATTAAAAAAAAAAAAAACATCCTTTGCTGTCGGGTGCAACCACAGGGCAAAAAGGCAAATAGGTCAGGTGGATGCCAGGAAAAAAAGTCTAATTTTGACATTAAGATATAATTGGCTAAAAAAAATAAATAAAATGTACTTCAGATAATTGATGAGAAGATGACATCGCCCTGGTTGCCGTCGTGCTCATGTTTGGAAGTGCTGCAAATAGGTCAGGTGGATGGCAGGAAAAAAGTCAAATTTTGACATTAAGATATAATTGGAGAAAAAAAAATTAATAAAATGTACTTCAGATAATTGATGAGAAGACGACAGCGCCCTGGTTGCCGTCGTGCTCATGTTTGGAAGTGCTGACAAAGCAGCCGACCAGACGCTTTGGCCGCTGGTTGAGACGGGAAGTAGACCGCACCCCGACATGGCGTATCTTTCATGGTTATGCTTCATTTTCAGAAGGAGGAGGCGGAGACGAGCAGCAGAAAAGGGAACAGGTGCAACTTTTACAAATGGAGAGTTTCAAAATATCAAGTGCCACAGCCTGGTGGAGACTCCAGTTTGGTCATTGCTAACTGCGTATCCTCAGAAATCACAATGAGCTGACAAGGTGCCGTGCAGTGAAAAAGGGGGCAGACCACCAGAAGCAACTGTAATCTCGTTCCAAGGCAAAACATTTAAAAAAAGAAGAAAAAAAAGGAGTTTGTAAGAAAAGCTGTTGCTGTTCGGCCAAAACCTTGAACAAGCAGCGCATAGGAGAGCAAACACGCACAGAGCCGGGCGGTCGGAAATGAGGAGCAAAGGGGAAGAGGATGAGTCAACTCAAAGGACACCTTAGCACATTCCCACATTAAAATGGATGAAGGCAAGCCTCGGATCCTTGAGTAAACCCGTTCATGCTTTACTGAGTTGCACAAATTCAATTAAGCATGCTTCCTCCCCACCCACCCGCCGTCTCATCTCCGAGCGGAACCCCGCCGCCCCCACGCCCTCCCATCGCGCCCGCCGCCTCACAGGCAAAAGCTTTTTTTGTGAAGACGCCGCACAAAAGCGTCGGCCCGTCCTACCGATGGTGCAGTGTTCGCCGTTCCAGCCGGGGCTGCACTCGCACTTGCCGTCCTTGCAGGTGCCGTGTTCGTTGCAGCGCGGGTGACACGCCCTTTGGTCGCATCCGGCCCCCATCCAGCCGTCGTCGCAGCGACAGGTGCCCGACGCGCAAACCCCGTGGCCGCCACAGTCGGCTGCGCAAATCTCTGTGGGAGACAAAGATGGACGGGAGGGGCGGGGGAGGGCGGCACAGACGCAGACGCCGTCGGCCTTGCGGCAGCAGACCGACTCTCCGTCTTTTTGCGATAATTCACTTCTCTCTACTCACTGCTGAAGCCTTTTATAAGATTCATATTGAATCTGTGAGGGGGAAAAAAATATGCCATCGCTTGGTTATTAAAAGTTAAGAAAGATATCAAATTTGGGTGCGGTTACAAGCAGAAGTGGGCATAGTCACCAAAAATGTGCCACAAGAGTATTGTGAGTTGAGGATAATCTGTAAAAAGTTGTCCTTCATAGATTGACTTCAATTAATTTTCGGTTTGCACTCTTCAAATGGCACAAGTTTGAAGCGGAGTTCTTGTAGGCTGAAATGTGGACATTTTTCGGCAAACGCAGACGGCGCTAGACACGGTGTCGCGTGTCTTGTTCCTCATGGTGCGGTCATGTGACTGTCTGGCGCCGTTTGATTGGATAAATGCAGTCAAATGTTGTTAAGGTTATTTTGGAACAGTGAATCAGTCAAGTGACGCGGTCTTGTTCCTCATGGTGCGGTCATGTGACTGCCTGGCGCCGTTTGATTGGATAAATGCAGTCAAACGTTGTTGAGGTTATTTTGGAACAGTGAATCAGTCAAGTGACGCCTCAAAACAAATACAAAATACAAAAGTAAAAGTAAAGACACTGAGATCAATAGCGGAATTTAACTTCATGTGATCCGGCTTTTTTTCACAAGAAAAAAAAATCTAGGTAAAAAATTTTGTTGCATGAAACTACTTGGATAAGCGACACGTTCTCTTCTAGCTAGCCATTGACATGGCTAGCATGTTAGCGCATTTCAAGTGGCATTACGCCAAACAAGAATATTTGTACAGCACGGGGAAAAATAAGTGGCTCAATGCGCCTTCCAGGGGGCATATCATTAGCCTCAGGCTAACGCGACAACAAACGGTTGCATTTGTCTGCCGTGTCCGTTTCTTAAAAAGAAGACGAAATAATGTTGTTGCTCTTTCCTAAAGAGCAAGATTTGAACTGAGATATTTTATATTACGCTATACATTATTTTATTCATCTAAGAATCTTCCGGGAAAATGTGCTGCCAGCAGTTTGTTGTGCCTTCATTTTACATTTGAAATCTATTTCCGATCATATAAAAGAAAAGCAGTTTTATGTTTTGCAATTTGTTTTCTGATTCGGTTGCTCTCTTTCACACTGTCTAGCAAAAACGGGAAAAGCCAACTCGTGTCAAAAGGTGAAAGCAATTTGTAACATGCTAATTCCGCATTGCGTACAGTGCACGTGTACGCTTGTTTAAAAAAAAAGTCTCACAGCGATGGTGTCTGATAACAAGATGCGGCATTTGGCACCCAATCAAGACGACATATACGCATAATGATACATACGCGAGAGGTGCCAACGGGGGGGGAAGTGAACATCTTGCGCTAGCTCGTTAGCACATACGGCGAGACGAGCACCCGAGAGAAACCTCGGCATCGACTTGGGTTGTCACGCCGCACACACCGAGAAGACGACGTTCATTTGGCGGTGTGGATAAAAGAAGATACCGTACGAAAGCGGCACAGCGTGAGCTCGGACAAGGCCATCCATCCGGCCATTTTCCACGGTGTTGTGACGCGTCATCTGGAATGAAACCTCACAAGTGGAACTAAAAAAAAAAATCAAATCTTGGTTTCGCACCTTCACCTATATCGGCAAAGACACTGAACTCCTTTTCAGCAGAGATGTTAAGTATTTTCTTTCTGAGAATTTCGGCAGACCTTTCATGATCAATAAAATGTCATGTTCTCGCACAATATCAGCACCTATATTTACCAGAAACAAAAAGTAGACCGCTTTTTTAGTAATCGGCAATTTATGGTTTAGTTTCACATAGAAATGCTGATTTTTGAGCCAAAAGCGGAGAAAAAGAGCATTTTGTGAAAGGAAATGTCATCAGAACAGCAACTTTGCAGCAAATATATATATATATATATATATATATACCGATTTTGAAAATTTAGTGAGGCGATGTGAGCAAAATATCCATTTCGAGCCGCAAAAAAAACTATTCTGAACTTATCCAAGATACTTTTTCCAATCGCTACCAAATTCGAACCGGAAAAAAATACGAAAACAGACGGTTGACAATAACGCCGCAAAAATTGGACTTTCGGCTCATCGCGTCATCATTGACGACGTCCTTCAAAAACGAAACTCTGAGAACACTCCACACACTCTCGTTGCCACCCCTTCACAGCGAGCGCCATACACACACACACACGAGAGATGGCATTCTTCGATCGGCTCACATTATTTCGTGGCCGTCCAACGTAAACAAGCCCGAGCTTAAGACTGCTCCAAAGCCTCCCGACAACACGATCTAATCCTTGGAAGCACGAATGCGGGAGAGCGCCGATGGTGGAATTTAGTGGAGAGGCTTGCTCACAGACTGTTGGTCGTCCTGTTGGCCGGCGAGCTTGGTGTTGTGTTACAGGAACACTTGACAATAAGCAGGATGAAGCAGGAGAAAGTGCAAACTCATCATCATTTATCGAGCTCACTACCTATTCCACTCGCCTCCAAATAAAATAACCCCCCCCCCACCGCCACCCCAACCGCCTCTCCGGATGACCTCCTTGGAATAGCCAAGGAGTCTTCCATCCGAGGATAGAGATTGTCATCTCAGCGAAAAAACAAATTGCTGTCTGAGTGGAAGCAATCGAAGGCCGATGTCGTGATTATCAGCGCATCAGAGCCGGACTCTAATCCACTCGGGGAGGGGTGGAGGGGGGGGGAATCGTCATCAAGTCTCTTGTTTGCGCCGATTCGCGGGGAAAATTACTTTACTGTCAAATGAAAAGCTTTGATTTTTTTTTTTTTTGACGACACATTTGAAAACCAGACAGCTTCGCCAAAGCCGCCCACCGCAGAGGCATATAAAAAAAATAAAACTCAAAAACCTCGGAGGTACTTTTTCATCTGACAAGAAGCCCCCATGAAGTTAAAAATAAATAAATAAATAGGCCTAGCGTGAGCAAAAATTCCTCTGACGTGGGACTCCTCGCAAGCTGCCTTTCTTCTGGGCAAACTAGCAATTACTCTCAAAATGTATCCAATCGAGACGTCTTCTGGCAGAACACAAGAGTGTTAATATGAGCTGCCAGAGATGTCAGGATTGTTGTCGGGTGAGGTATTAAAAAACGTCTGTCACAAAAACGGCGGCTGTGTTATTATGAAATCGTATTCCTTCCCGGGATGCAAATTTCACGGATGATGGCCGCGCACGGCACTCGCTTTTCAGCGTGGCTTCGGCCATTCATCAGCGCGTTATTTCCGCTTGGCCGTCAAGGAATTATTTTCCGCCGCCAATTAAGGCGGAACATCTTGAGCTCCGACCGTTGCTGCTTTATGAGCCTGACAAAGCCTTTGGCTAATTGCACACGTTGAGTTCTTGAGGCTCATCGATGCCGTTGGTATGTTGCGAAGTTTTGAAACGATGTCAACGTCCCTGCCGTTACAAAGCCATGCATCCATAGTGTTGGACGAAGCGATTCATCCGCTCGAGGGCGAACGCTCAGTCGACTTTTTCTCTCGTCGTCACTGTGCTGTTTGATGATATCGTGTGTGAACACACTAAACACGGACCAGAACCAGAGGAAGCGAAGGAGAGAGCGACGAATATTCTACCCTGCCCTCGCCCATTATTTTTTTATTTTTTTATTTTTTGGGCGTTCAAGGTTTGACACCAACCCACAGATGGAATTAAAATGACAGCGATAATCTGTCATACGGTAATCCCTCGCTATAACATGTTTCATCTTTCACGACATTGCCGTTTCACGGATTTTTTTTCGTGCAATTTTTTTGTTTTGTTTTTTGACAATGTATTGTGTTTCTGCATCCTGATTGGCTAAGGGACTGTAAGGTCAACAGTCTCCGCGCCACATCACATTTTTTCCTTGACGAAACCCACAACGTCGACGAAATGTGTATATATATAGTTAGTTTTTTTTATGCTTGGGCCAGAACAAAGGTTTACCATTTGGTTTCATTCAATATAGTCTTGCTATTTAAAAAAATAAAGATGACTACTTCACAAATTTCACTTATCACGGATTCTGTTTGGAACGCAACACCCCCGACAAACGAGGGGTGACTGTCGTGACATAGAAATGTCCATTCATTTGCACTGCCACTTTTTAAGTAAATTACAAAAAAATAGTCAAACTTTTGTGTTTCAATATTTTGGGAGGGGGGGTGTTCTAATAACGGTCTGTGTCAAAATGCTTCAAAGACAACCGACGTGTTTTTTTTTTTTTTTTTTTGTCACACTCACCCGTGGAGCAGTCATGGCCCGTCCAGTTGGCGTCGCAGCTGCAGGTGCCCGCGTCGGCCAGGAAGGCACCGTGGCCGGAGCACTGGTCCATGCACGAGGCCCTGGGGCTCTCGCACCCCTGCCCGCCCCAGCCCACGAAGCAGTGGCACTCGCCCTGGACGCACACACCTCGGCCGGAACATGTCGGGTCCAGGCAGTCCACTGATGAGAGAAACCTTTCTTCAGTTCAGCTGTCAGTCACGGTAGCAAATGTGCCGACCGTGACCAGAATGCGGCAAATCGGAATCCCGGTAACCGAAAGCATGCATCTTCAATAGCCACTAGTGTTTAAATGTCAGCTTTTCGTGATGTGGAAAAATGCTGAACTCTTTTGGGTTGGGAAGTAAAAAACAAACAACTGTGATAATGTAGTTGCACAAGTGTGCACACCCTGTCATGACTGGGGATGTGGCTGTGGCTGAAAAATCACCAATCACATTCAAAGTCGTGTTCAACGGGAGTCAGCACACACCTGCAACTACTTCACGTGGCTCCGATTATCGCCGCAAGTTCAGCTGTTCTAGTCGGCTTTTCCTGACCTTGTTTTGCTTTTTATGAGAATCCTGGAAAAAAAAATCACTCAGGGGGTTTTAAACTTTTTGGATCCACTGTCATTTTCTGAAGACGGGAAGCAGCACAGACACGGCAATGTCTCGCTTCATTGATTGTGGTCGGAAAAGTTCCGGCGGGTGAACGTTGGCTCGACTGCTACGTCTCTGATGTGCAAATTTGTGTGTGTGTGTGTGTGTGTGTGTGTGTGTGTGTGTGTGTGTGTGTGTGTGTGTGTGTGTGGGATGCAGCAATGCAGCAAAGTGGAGGTGAATGGAGAACAAGCATGTTTTAAACCTGAAACTAGAAAACAAATGGTTTTATATTTAAATCCATTCTCGTTATATCTTTTAAAACCATTTGTATGTTTATTTTTTTTCCCTAAATACATTTACAAAGAGTGTTTCAATCAATGTAAATTAGTTTAAAGCATGTGCGCGTTATTAGGCAATACTTTGTCCGCTGAGACAATACCTGAATGCCGCACACAGATGGCAAACGGACAAAAGGGGCGCGCGCGACGTCAGCGGTGCCCCCATTTAGAATGACATAAACTGAACATAAAAGGCCACCATAGTACGACAAACAGCATCTCTCGCTTCTGGCCAGATGGTTTGTGCGCCGGGCGTGAGGTTCAGAGGACTAACTTGACAAGAAACTCTCCTGGCAATTAATCACGGGCGGCTGAAGGTCGCGGCGAAGAAAGGTAAAAATGCGAAAGGCCGCTCTTGCCCCGCGCTCCCCGACGCCGCGAACCGCTGACACGCCAACCCGAAATAGAACGAAGGGGGGCCCCTATGGATGACGCGCACCCCCATTTATCAAACGCCCCGGTGCCATTTTTCATCTTGAAATGAGAGCCTTCAAGAGCTGACAAACACAATGGCCGCCTCACTCTTATCTGCTCGGGACGTATCCGCCGCGGAGCTCCCGCCGGATTCGCATCAGACGCCGTGTCCGACTTGCAACACAATACACAGACTGTTTTGTTATTAATGCGGTGCCTTATAGCCATCACTTAGAGGCTGTCAGTCAAAGTTGCTATGGAGCTCGTCCGACTGCAACTCTCTCCCCATAGCGTGAAGTGAAAACAAGAAAATCATGTTCTAATCCACGGCTACAACTTCTGAAAATAAACCGCCACGCTAGCGTTGTTAGCTGACGCGAGTACTTTACTCCGCAGTCTCCAATTTGCTGAAGTGGCCTATTTTTTATTTATTTTTTTTGCTGCTCTCATGTCTCCGCTCTGATGAAATCTGTCTCTACGGTTAGAAGTAAACACAAGAGACCATCATTGTGCATCACTAGAGATTGCCGAAAAGTGAAAACGCACTTCAATTTAAACTGACCGCACTGCTGTGCTCCCCAGTCTCCATTTTGCTGCACTGTTTTGCTTTCTTGCTGCTGTCCTTATCCTCGTGGGTCTAATCCCATTTTGGCCCCTTCCTCAACTTTGGCAAATACTCCAACTGAATCCAGGTTGGAAAACAGTCGCTTTGAACGTTTCTTACCTTCCTCGCAGTTCTCGCCTTTGTAGCCCGGGTTGCAGATGCACGTGCCCACGATGCAGGTGCCGTGGTGACTGCACGTGACGTCCACGCACTGGTTGGTGGGCACGTCGCACTCGGAGCCCTTCCAGCCGCTGTGACACATGCAGCGACCTTTCAGGTATTGACCGTTGCCGCTGCACAGCACCGGACAGGCGGCTGGGAGAGAAAGCAGACAAACCATTAGGACACGTTAGCGTCAAATCGGGTCCCGGGGATTTTAGCCTCAAGTGAACAGTGATTTTTGGGTCATCTTAAAGGGGACACGTGATGGTCACAAACTCCACGCAGGAAGGCCGAAGCCGGAATCGAACCCTCGCACTTCTTCCCAGCGAGGCGTTCGTGCTAACCGGTCGCCTACCGCGGTGCCCCAAATATCAAAGTCGTTATTTGCAATTAGTATTTGAAGTCTGCGTGAGTGGCATCATTCGGAGCTTTTATTTGCCACATAATAGGCGACGACGAGCACTGGCAGCGGGGGAAGAATCAAACAAGAGCGCTAAGGTGTCATTAAAAGTGGATGAAAATTGTCCAAGTGATACATCTCGAGTCTGAAGCTTCAATCTCACGCCACCAAGGCAAAATTCAAGCGCTTCAAATGGAGTCCCAGTTAAATTTCCAGCCATCGAGTCGATTTCCTCGCAAATTACACGCAAGTCAAAAGTCATTCAGTCGAGCTCAGTCGCAACATATTTGCACATTAGCCACTTGGCACTCGAGATGTGTACTCGGGTCCTGAATACATCAAGGCACGGCCAAACTCCGGCCCTTGAGGGCCGCTTCCCTGCATATTTTTTTTTTCTCCCTGCTGCAACACCTGTGCAAGAAAGAAATGCTCAAGGAATTAAATCTGAAAACCAATTTGATTCCTGAGGCCGGGTTTTGAAAAAAAAACATGGTGAATTGGCAGGTCGCTGTTGTGCTGCACGTAAAGTTGTCGAGAATAGTGAAGTCAGCTCCAAATACAAATGGCTTTAAAAAAAAAACCACTATCCTTTTAAAGTCTGTTGAGCAATTTTTAAAATCTATTTCACGACACAATCTTCAAGTCATTTCAAAGAACTACTTTAGTTTTTTTTTTCCTTTGGTTTTAAATGTCTTTAAATCTTTTGTTTGTAAATGTGCAAATGCTGTCGTGTCCGTTATTTTTGTCATTTCCAAAAGCTGCTTTGATTCTCTTTGCCTTCAGCTGTTCCGTCCGTGTTGTGCTCTTGGATGTGTGAAGCACATTGAGTTGTCTGGTGTATAAAATGCGCCACGTCAATAATGCCTTTCCTTGCCACCTGAATTCTTCTCCCCACCCGACCGGGAATTCAAACCCCTTTCGCAAGGATGAGAAAAATGGGGCGCAGCAACGGGTTCGCCGAACTTACCTCGGCCACAGTCGGGGCCTTTGAATCCCAGGAAGCAGTGGCACGTTCCGGCCACGCAGTCGCCGTTCCCGAAGCAGCTGCTGGGGCACTCGTCGACGGAATCTGAAGCGAGGCAAAGAGAAAGCGACAATCCGGGAGGTATTTTCAATGCTAATGACAGCGCAACATTCCTCCCCCCTCGTTCTCTCAGACTTGATTATGATCTGCGCCGCTAATGACAGTGACGGGCCCGACTTCCGGCTGAATGAACAGTTTGACTGGGCCTTTTTCTCCTGCAATTTGCTTGCCGCGTACTCAACGGGTTGCAGAGTTAATTAAGTCTTCCCCAAAAATGTGAAGGCAACCCATTTCAGTGGAACGCTTTGCAACGCTCATGAACAAACGGAAGTCATGTCGCTAACCACGTCATTGGGTTTTATTTTGCGGTGAGTGGAAAGCGACATCAGCGAGAGACGTTTGGGGTAGAGTGGTGACCTTGAGAGGAAGAACCGCCATCTTCTAACCGAATTACAAATTGATTAAATTACCTCAACGGTGGTGTATTTTTAGTTACTCATAAAAAACGATTGTGAATCAGTAAATGTATGATAAAATCATGATCCCATGTTTTAAATTACACCACAAAAAAAAAAAGTTCCTCAATTTTTTAATCAGAGATGCAAGTCAACTTTTCAAGATGATTTTCCCGCGCCGATTCAGAATCTGTCCAAATTCTTTTCTTGAGCACATCAAGTTTTCGGAATATCGTATTTTCCACACGTATTGGTATTTTAAATGTTCTGAAAAGCGCTTTGTTACAGCTGCAGTAGGTGTTAAAATATGCAAACGGGTATTTGGACAAATGCCTGAGGTAGTTTTTTTTTTTTTTTTTGAAATGACATCAATCAAACTGCCATTGCGATGATGCACTTCCTCCGTTGTGTCATCTAAGTACATCAACTTAATTGTCAAAGTAATGAAGACGCCTAAACAACCGGGCGCCAGTCGTCTGGATTAATGACGCTGGAAAACAAACAAACAAACAAACAAAAAAATTCCTCCCATCTTTCTCCCCGCATGCAAATTTTTGGAAACAATAGAACCTCTTGCGCTCTCACAAAAGCGCCCCGAAATACGAGCTCCGTATCGCGCTTTCCTTTCCTCGAGAGAGTCAATCATCGGCGAGGATGCCGGGCGAGCAGAGACAAAGAAAGGGGGGGAGGGGGGGCGAGACTTGCTGAGAGCCGCCGCGGGCTCGTCTCGGGCTGACTTATTGATCAGGGGAGCAAGGGAGGGCTTTCCTGCGGCGCGCCATCATTGTGGAGGAGTCCGAAAAGAACATCTGTGCGGTGAGAGGCTTGGCTTTCTTCAGCCGAGAGCGAGTGTGTGTCTGCGTGTCCGTGCGCATGTGTAATTGGTGCCGGATGAAATGAGGTGTGGGATGTGAGGCACGCACGCCGTACCAAATGTCTCCCAAGAGTGCAATTATGCAGCCGAGCTTCTTGGCTTGAACACAAAACAACAAAAACATACACAATATGGATAAAAGTATCGGGACACGCCCTTTTTATCGCTCGCTCAGTCGGGGGTTGAGTCGACAGTTCTGTACGGTTACTCATCCACAGAAAAAAATGCACCGATACTACACAGTGATACCACTTCGCGGGAGGGGAGTTGCTGGAGCCTATCCCCAGCCGACTTCGGGCAGAAGACACCCTGAACTGGTCGCCAGTCGGTCGCAGGGGACGTATCGAGACAAACAACCAGTCACACCCGCATCCACGGCGTCAATTGGACAGTTTGGGCTTAGGCGAGCTTTGACTTGTGGCGTATGACAAAAGCTTCAGCCTGACCATCTCGAATCAAATCGTGACCGACCCCCTCAATCAAACTGTTACATTTGAAAATTGCTACACGTGTAAATCGCAAAAATTCTCAAATAAACGAAGATGCACCCCCAATAAATGCGTTCCACGAAAAGGACGAGCTCCTATGGATAAATTGTTTCTCTTCAATAAAGTGTGACAGTTCTTTGGGCAAATCTCAGCTATTGATATGTTTTATCATCATTCTAAAATGCGGTTGTCTCGTTTAATTGACCGACCGTGAACCTCAGGCGCCTCGGCGTTGAATACGCATCGGCGCGCGGCACGTTATTCCCGCCTCGTGTTCTCCTCGCCAAAGCGGCCGTGAATATCCCTTCGCCGCACGCTCGACGTCGGCCCGATGCATAAATCACCGATTCAAGCAGGGGCCTTCATTGAAATTCATTACCCGGCGTATCGGGAGGAGCGAACTATTATGCGAGTCCCCGCAGTCCGGCGGCGCCGCCGCGTGCGAGTTTAATCAGCGCCTTTTCCTTTCCCCGCGCGTTCACATCGGAATGAGGGCCAGTCAGGGAAGGGGGGCGGGGGGGGACCCCCACCAACATCCAGCGCCCCTCCCCTTCCTCCGGCCCCAAACCTGCACTGGGAAACGCGTCAGGCACCAGGCAGCCAGGACAAATGGCTTCACGCTCCAGAGGGCTGTGATTCAAAACGGTCACCGGGACACGTTTTCGCACGGCCACAAAGCCGCAAGGGCAACCGACATGAAGGACAGGGACACCCACCCCATTTAGAGACTCACCCTCCGGCGCATACTGTACTTTTTACATTCACAAAATCTTGCAGCACATCACCCCCCCCACCCCCACCCCCCAAAAATGATAAGCTTATCTCAATGGACTCACTCGGTGTGAAATCGGGGCTTATACAATGGAACTATTGAAGCTATTATTTGGTTGTATGAATGGCAACAGGTTAATTGTGGCCAAAAGAACTTCATTGCTCCGCCTGATATTTTTCTTTATTCGTGACAAATATTCTATCTTTGTTCATCTATCTCGGCCAGTGACGTATAGTGACAGGCGAAACAATTGACTGCTCTTCCACAAGACACCACACGTCATCGGGCAGTAGATGCCCAGGGCCGCCGCCCTCTGCACTGACGCTTTAGTGCTTTTGCGACACAGGTTGCTATCTTGCGATAGGTTAGCTTAGAGTGTTAGCCTTTTAACTTTTCTACTTAGAAAGAGTACCTGAATCCAGGTAAAACCTTACAACTGGCTCTCGGATTTTCGTAACTCACCTTGCTATGCTAGCAGAACAACTGCAACGTCACTATTCCTTTTTTTTTTTTTCCATTTTTATTGTTTTCAGGAAGACATTGCCGAATGATATTTCAAATGAGCAAACAAGTATGATGTACTGCCAAGGGCTTACAGTATTGCTATCCACGACCTCAATCAGCCAGAGGCTGAGCTGCACTGTGTTTGCTCGTGGAGTAGATGTGCGGCCAAAGCACACGCTGGGTGATACTGTACGTCTGTACTGAAAAAAAAGGAAAAAAAAAAATCTGAATAGGTGACGCCTGTAAAACTCACAAATGTGGACAACACGGAACCTCAAAACACTACTTTCTTTGATCTCCCGCATTCCTCTACCTGAGCGGCCCCCGTTTGAAGGTCAACTCGAAGAATCTGCGGCTCAGCCAGTTGGTGGGATTCAATTTCTGCTGAGGGGCACTTAACCGGTGACCCATTTTCCAAAAGAGGCCCTCCTGTGGGCACAAGAGCTCCGATGCAAACCAACCAACACAGGCGCAACTTTGAGTAATCTCGCTCAACCCACTAACAGCTCCCTCCCCTCGACCCCCTCCGGCCCCCCTCCCTGCCCGTCCGCTTCCCGATTCGTCCCGCTGTCGGGCCTTTTTCAGCTCAAGCTTTCCCTACTCGGTGACGGCGGGGAACCTTCATGCACTCCCTGTCGAGGAGAAATAACCAAAGTAAACACGCCGCTCTGACGTGCCCCGTGTGTCATATCGTAGCATAAATATTGAATTGCAGCTGCTGTTGGCACAGCAGGTGTTCCTGGCGCGGCCCCTGTCGCACCGACCCAGGAGTTTTTAATTAAAGAGCAAGTGAAGAGAGCTCTCAGCTGCCATGGTGGGTGCAATCTGACACCACCCCCAGCCCCCACCTCACCTCCACACCTTGCTTGATAATACTAGCGCTAACCGCTAACAAAGTGCTATCAGAGAAGCAGAAATTAGAGTAAATAAATTGGGATAGGAAATATAAAACATCGACACGGTGGCAGGAGTGTAAACTCGAATCTCAGTTGGCTGGAGCCCCTGACTAGCTCATCACACACTTTTTTTAACAGTAGGTGTTTACCAACTGTAATCTGTGCATCCAATCGAACTCAAGAGTTCTGCTTTGCGTTTGGCTTTGACATGAGAGTGTCTCGTAGCGTGTGGTCCGTCCATCATTTGAAAATGGCGTCCTCTCGAGCTGCCGAGTCATGGGCGGACCAATTTGCGGTATTCTCGAAATAAATCAAGTTGAATTGGGATCTCCCAATTCAGGATGGCCTGCTATTTGAAATTCAGCTTAAAAAAGGATGAACTCGGTTGTGAAATGTGAGTGAGCTCGAACTCCAGAGACGCAAATCCGCGAATATGAATTAATTTAAGCAAAATGATCTGCCAATAGAACAGGAAACTTGGACTTGGCAAGATATTTTCGAACGTTAAAACATAGCTCGCCTGAAAAACCCCCACCGCTGTTTTATAGAGTATTTACACAAGCGGCACCTATGGAATGATCACATTTCTTATTTTAAACCCAAATTACTCACCAGTCAACCCGACATCGAATCTCCTTTGGAGATTTTTAAGAAAATAAATGTTCAAAGCAATCAGAATGGTCATCCACAAAAAATGCTCACTAAGAAGAAATACCGGTTGAAATATGACCTGTGCATTTTGTTTTGATGACGGTGACCTCGAGAATTTCTCATTCGACACAATGACTCGAATTTCTCGGCCGTCCGAGGGAGCTCACCTACGGCAGTGGTGAGAAAGGAGACGGTTTCTATGTCTTTGCCGTCGTTGTAGACGGCCAGGTGCCAGATGCCGGACTCCATGTACTGGATGAAACCCGTGTCATGCGTTGCGACGGCCGCAAGGCTCCGCTGCAAGCCGGCGGGCCCCTCCAGGCCGGGGGGGCCGCGGACCAGGAGTCGCCGGCCGTCCAGCAGCTCCACAAAGTCAAACTGCGGATGAGACGGGGAGATTGTCAGTGAGCGGAGGCGGGATTGATGGATGAGGCGCAGACGGGCCATTAAGAGTGACATGTGAGATGCGAGCGCTCTCGGGCCGCGTTATGGCCGGGCATCATTTGGTCCGCATGAATAAGTTATCCTTCCACGGCGACAGCGGGAGGAGCATTAGGCTGGCCGCAGCGTGGCTCGATGGGCTGCTGTCATTTCACACTGTGCGTGCAACTTTTCATGGAAGTCGGCCTCTACAGTTGCGATTCTTGCTATATACTTTCAGCTACTGTATTAGTGTAGCTAGCAAGTGAACGGGCTAGCTTTAGCTTATTTACAACTGACCACAAATCATGATAAAACCGTCAAGTGTCATCTGTGTGAACCTAGGCCAGTAAGAGAACTACTTTACTTTGGCCCTTGGTCCTGGAATGACCTTCAGGGTCGACTCAAAATGGCCGCCTCGGGGGGATAGACAGATGGGTGGAGGGATGGATGGATTGAAGGCATTTACTGACTTGATGCACGGAGAAGTAGATAGACAAGCACTAGCATTTATCTAACCTTAGCTTGCTTTCTTGCTGGCTAGCCACGTATCATACAGGAAATGCTACTAAACGCCATTTGCTCAGCGCTAACCGAACTTCTCTGCCAGGTCTCTCTAGTAAAAGAGCTCTCCGATCTCAACACCACCTGTTAAAATAAAGCTTAAATAAAAAATAATCATACAAATTGTAAACAACACACGCACTCTCGGGAGAACGCAAACGGACAGATGCTAGCTGCGCTGAGAACGAGAAAGATTGTCCAGCCTGTTCCGCAATGCGAGCTTACGCAACTGCCTCGATAACAAGCTGATGTCATTAACTTGGCTTTGACGCTGTCACTTTTTTGTCGAGGGGGGCCGAGGGGGACCGGCTGATATTGTTTGCTTTAATGGAAATCGGGGGGAAGAAATTAAGTGAGTTTGCCAAATAACATCTACGAGCAGTCACTTCATCATATCAGCAGAGACTCCATGAATAACAATGAGGCCACATTTCACTTTCATCTCCGCTCTGATCAGCTACAGGTAAGAAACGACCGCTTTCGAGACAACACCAGGCTGAAAAAGCTAAATGACACCGGATGGTAATTTCTGCTGAAATTGGGCTCGGGGAAAAACCAAAACGGCAGTTGTGCCAAGTGAATAAAATCTAAAGTGAGAGCTCGGCGAGCCAGATAGGATTCATAACGAGACCTATCTCCGGGAAATTAGAGCAAAAGAAAAATCCTTCCGCTCCCCCGTACCCCGCGAGGCTCCGGCTCCTTTACGTGATTCATTGGCGATACCCAACTGCGCAGAAATCTATTGTAAATCCTCAATGACATAACAAAAGGAGGTGATTCATAATACAGTAGAAAGGGTTATGAATTGATTCCGCGCTGGATCTAACAATATAGCAATTTATAATCTGCCGCAGAGCGGAAATGTGGAAAATTGCTCATCCTGTGTCGACATGAATGCAAATACTGTAAGAGAGCGCGCTAGTCTTTTTAGCAGAATAAACCAAGTACAGAGGAGAGTGATTTAGGACAGAATTCTGTTCTTACAAAGAGTTGGGAATAAGTCAAATGGTTTATAAACCGCAAGTACGATGCTAAATGCTAAATGCTAAGAGTAAACCTTCAAATGGGTTTGGTTACGCAATAGAAGATGCGGTGTTATATGTATTACAGTCTAGAAAATAATAACATCATTAGTATCAGCTCGCAGAAGCTGACAAAGCAGAACGTGGGTGGATGGAAAAAAGTGAACTCTTTTTTTTTTTAAACAATAATATGTTCGATGCTGCTTATTTCATATTTCACAAACGCAACATTGATCAGAATACGAGTGGTCTTGCATCGAACACAACATATGATTCTAAAGATTTTTTTTTTTTTGGCTTCCGCTTTAATGTCAAAATGTCAAGTTGACAGAAAATTATTTGAACACCAATTTTTGGTGCAAATCTTTTCCAATAAATTCCTTGTAGAAATTAGATCATTCAAAAGAAGCTTTCTTTCAGGCAATGCAAAAAGAAACATCTTTTTTTTGTTGTGCATTCATTTTTTGGGTAAATTCCCGCAATTATTATTGAACAAAATCTGACCAAAGTATTGCAAAATTGAGAAACTAGCGGAAATGAGCTGGTTTGAAAATGAACTCCAACCTGCGTGTGAGACGGTGGCAGGCCCCTCCTTCCGTAGATCCCCACTAAGGCGTCCTTGCTGAGCGACACGTTGAACTTCATGTACATGGGGTGGTCCACGAAGATCTGGGACCGCCAGAAGACGCCGGGCAGGATCTGCTGCGCGACCTTGCGGCCCACGTCGATCTCGCCCATGTCGATGTAGCTGTCGTCGGGAAACAAGCTGTCCAATTTGCCTGAGAAGCGCACGTGCACACAAACACGCGCATGGAGAATCGGTCAGACGTCACACCATTAATTTGGCCTGTGGAATCCTGAGGGGGTGGCAAAGAATGTAACAAACGACCCCGGGTGACCGTCCCTGTCCTAACTCCAAGGAAGCATGCATAAATACATTCAAAGAGGAACACTTTGGTCGCATTTGGATGTGTGCTGGACCGACATTAATAAAATACGATGGTAGCATTTAATTAGTTCGCACTTGACGCTTTCTCTTTAAGAATATCAGTCAAACGTGTTTTCCACCACGTGTTGCTTTGTAATGCAAGCCTTAACACATTTTCGGAGACTTGCCACCCAACTAATGGCATGTCTGGGAAAACTGAATTAAAAAGGTCGAACATATGGTGGCACAAATGGCACGAACGAGAGGGGGGGGGAATTAAAAAACATGAGTTGTACAGTTGTAATTGAACCTATCGTAATAAAGTGAGAGATGTAATTTTATTTGAGAAGGAGCTGCAAGAGAGCTCCGTATGCTGCTTATTGCACCTGGTGCTGGACTCGGTGGAAATGACAACATCTGTTAGCCCCGCGTTGACGAGCTGCGACGAACGCGCTAACGACAACGAGCATCGGGACACGGCGGCGGGCTTGGCTTAAGGTTGCAGATGGCGCTCGGAAAGACGTGTCATACAGTAAACAGCAAATAGAAACCCGCCAAGATTAAATATTATCGCCGCACCACTTGCACTGCAGACGATAATGACAAGTACGTTCCCGCAAATATTGGAGCCGAAAGCCTAGCTTCGAATCAGTCTTCATAGCATAAGCAGCCAGCTAGCTAGCTTTGGCTGGTTGCTGTAGCTAAAATCGCTCCGAAGTCAGTTGCCGTTACCTCTATGGTGGCGAATTAGCAACACTTCCTATTGACACTTTTATCGTTCTCACGAAGGGGAAAGACAGAGAAGCCATGCTAATTGCTAAGCTAACCTAAAATTGACATGTAATCGGATTTAGGTGCTTGGGTGATCGGGTAACTTTACAGAGCGTTAAAGCGGAGCGTACCCAACTTTGGACAGCAAAATAGCAGGCAAATAAGTACGTGTCCAGACTCTTGAGAGAAAATGATTCAAATCATAAATGGAAACTGGGAATGAATTACGGCGCGCTACGCTGTACGTCGTCCCGGAGGAGTGGCCTAAAAGTACAAGATATTCATTGAGTGTAAAACTTTAAGATTATCGGTAATATTTGTTTTCACAGCAAAGTTTGGGGATTTTGACTTTTGCGGTAGGCACAATAAAATGCTCTTTGTGTTGCTCTACTTTGCCTTCATCTATTTTCAATCTTCTGTTGTTGAAAAGTATTTATTTGTTCACCTTTAAATGTTGCTTTGTGAAGCACATTGAGTTACCTTGTGTATGAAATGCGCTATATCGATCAAGCCGCCTTGCCTTTCGATGTTACGAAACATATAATATGCTGTCAAAATGCGACAAACACGGCTGGCAATACTTGACTCAGAAAACGGTTTGGCAGTCAACGAGTTAAGTCCCACACGGCTGTACAGTCTGACCGTACAACGGCCGGCAGGCTGTTCCGTCACGCGTGGTGCCGTTATAGGCCGGCTTACATGTCAGTCATGACCGACCCAATTAGCTGAGTTGGCCCAAGTCCATGTTAATGTCGCGCTTGTGCTGCGGTGGCAAAACGAGACAGAGACAGCTCGTCATTGTTACAAGTGACAGCAGCCCAGAATGAGACTTATTCCCCAAAAAGAAAAAAAATATTGATTTCCCATCCCCGGTGGCTGAGCTTTGGACCTTTTCTGCAGTCGCCGCCTCAGTGGCTAAACACACTTTTCTGCCACGTGTTAAATGAAAAAAGACAAGTGCGGGATTCATCTATATGGTAATGACTCCTTTCTCGAGCTTTTGTGGCCTGCCGGTGGCAAATGGCACGGCTACATTTTGGCCCATTTGCCCCGGAATGGAAGCGGGCAAACTTTCCTGGATGGAGCCGAGCGGTCGGTACCGTGGGGCGAGCGCACGCTGTCTTTGGCTGCCAGGCACGGTGGTCCGGGCGGGGACATGAAAGGATCACATCTGTTATGAAGTGTGAACGAGTGGCTAATCCCCCCCCACCCCACCCTGAAAGTTGTAGCCCCGGGACAACGGCTCCCTGAAGCTGTGCCATTTTCTCTCTCCAGGAACAAATCAGGCTTTCCCACTGACAAGCACTTTCACAGGATTACAATGCAGATCTCGCCGCGCGCCACCGAGGCCCGAGAAGGCGGCGTGCGAAAACAACCGCCGACTGGCCGCAAATGTCACCAGCAAAACTTGTGGTTTCTTCGACAAAACTTTCCGGCTGAGCCGCTGCGATAAAGCGCTTGAAAGGAGCACTCACTGTCGTCTTTGCCCCGGCGATCGGGCACCTCCAAGCCCGTGTTGCCGAGCGGCCTCAAGCTCAGGTCCGTCGGGAAAGGTGGCCCACTCGTATTGTCGTCCGTCACGTGGTACATTTGTCTCTGCGTGGGCTTCAGGTGCCAGTTTAGTCCAAAAAGGTGCATGGCTGGACGGGGAGACACAAGAAGTGCATTTTGGTGATTGAAACTCCGCCCCCAAAAGCATCCAGGCTTTAACGATCAAGTCCACCGATAGTTTCGGAACGCTTGTCCTGACACACAGTGGTGAGTAGCTCAAATAAAGGCAAACAAACCCTCAACGAATATGAAAGGCAGCTTATCTACTTCAATTAGAGTTGTTCAACTTCAACACTTTCATTTGCGGTCTTTCAAGTGTTCACTCAGACAACTTCAAAAAATAAAGGGTGAGTGCGAACATAAAGTCAGATTGCAACAACAATGTAAACAAATCTGTGACTTTATCACTTCAACTTTTCACGTCTCGCGAAACAATATCTAAAGAGACAGCACTTCTGAAGCCAATTTTTTAAATCTCCTTTTTAATAGTGTCAACATGCTATTAGCAGAAATGCCACCTGGCTACATATAATGTATTTGCTAATTCCATGCTAACAACCATTTCCGATGACTTTCAGTCCCGTTACTCAAAATGACGAGTTTCTGCGCGACAAAACAATCCTGGAAAATGAATAATTCAATAAATAAATAAAGTGCGATGGACTGATGCACATTTTGGACAGGTCAATATGTGAATATGTATTTTGAAAGAGTCACACCATGCAAACGGAATTGATTGGTTAGACCGAGCCATATATCATTTGTGACATTTTCATTTGAGGGTGAGATTTTTGGAATGTAAAACATAACAAACGGTGGGAAACACTGGAGTAGTTGTTCGACTGGTTGGCTCGAATTGATTAGCGATCAGTGTAGCATGTCACCTGGAACAAAAAAAAACAAAACAGACCTCAAAACGGAATAACCAAAAACTGATGGTTGGGATTGCTGCAGACTGGTCATGGGTACAAAAAGTGGATTAAGACCTCAACGTTTGCAAAAGCGACTCGACCGGCGACGTGAAAACAGGACGTCGAAGCAAAGACGATCCGGTTTAATGGTTAACGGCAAATTCCGCCGAGCTTTGCCATCCGAGTGCCGTTGTTGACCCCGAGCGACAACATCTGCCGTGGACCACCCCAGCTGCCTTGCGATCGCTCCAAGGTGATTACCCCACAACCTCAATAGCAACACTGAAGCCCAAAAGTTTAAAAAAAAAAAAACAAGCTCGGATAAAGCACACTGATAGCCTGACAAAAGAAATACCCTATAGTGGTGGTGCGGGGGGGTTGAAGGGTGGGGGTGGGGCGCGGGGTGACACATCACCATTACGAGAATGGACAAGATGAGCTTAGCCAGGCAAAAAAGAAAAACCTCGGAATTCAACAGTCAGCAGAAAAAATGGCCCAGAAACTCAACGGGCCCATTTTATTGTTTTGTTGTTTCTCTTCAGCTCTTTGAGTAAATAACCACACAATTCTTTCGTCTACTCTGAAAGCGGCACTCTGAACAGGCCGATGCTGAGGGAAAAAACAAAAAAGCTTCGCTTTATTCAAGAGAGCTGATCATTGACAATGCGGACGAAAATGTTCATCATCCGATATTCCGGTGTACTTCTCGCGTTAAAATGTGACATGCTTGTGATTGATGTGCATAAATGGTGCTAAATACTAATAATAAATGGCAAATGCATATGCAAAGCGTGAAGTGTTTCTTGTCATCCTCGCACAACAAAGCAGAATTTCTTTTGATGGTACGTGACAGACGATGACAGAATCAGCGAAAACGGAAGCGAGCTCAAATTGGGAACGAAGGAGACAAATGACTTGAGTCTCGCTGCTATGTTGCTCATTGTGCCGATTAGGAGGCCTGAGCTTGTTTTCATGACACAAAGCAAAAAAAAAATTACAAACAACAAATGGGCTGAAGAAAATCGATTTCCCGCCGTTGAATATTGGTTCAAGTGGCAGAATTTTGCGATTGCGAGACCTCTTGAAGGCTTGTTAAAGAATCCCTTCCACACTGCAAACGCGTCTATCGACAAGAATTCAAACAGCAGTCCTCACCCGGAGAACAAACCGGCACAAGATGAGCATTGATACACATTCGGTGTCGCATACAAGAGGACGGGAATGTTTTTTTTTTTTTTTCTGGCTCTAATTGAGGCAGAGGCGGCCAAGCATTCTGATCACTGGCGCACACCGCACACAGGCTCCAGTGTATTTTTGTTCAAAATGTTTTTTTTCTCTTAGACACTTGCCGACATCTTGCCTTGAGCAAAACTATTTTTTTTTTTTTTACACACAAGACATCTCCGAAAAGCCAAAAATATACACGGGGATTTTCATTCAAGCTTGAGTTTGAAAGTGCACGACACAAGCCGAGCTCGGCTCCAAAAGAAACAAGATTTACTTGCTTGAAACATTCGCGAAACCGCACGACGCTTTGACAGTGGGACAGAAAATCCGTCGACGATTTTCGGAGTGACTTCCAGCTGTTTCTGCCACACTCCTGTGTTCTACCTAAAATGGATGGATGGAAGTTTTACAACCCAACTGAAGCGAATTGTACCGAAGGGGAAATGCAACGGAAAAAAGGCATGTGCATACGTTCATTCATTCATTCATTCATTTCCGGTCCGCTTTATCCTCACAAGGGTCGCTTGCGGGGGTCCTGGAGCCTATCCCAGCCGTCTTCGGGCAGCCTGAAGCGGTTGCCAACCAATCGCAGGGCACACAGAGACTAACAACCATTCACGCTCACACTCAAACCAAGGGACAATTCGGAGTGTCCAATCAGCCTGCCATGCATGTTTTTGGAATGTGGGAGGAAACCCGAGTACCCGGAGAAAACCCACGCAGGCCCGGGGAGAACATGCAAACTCCACACAGGGAGGCCGGAGCTGGGATTGAACCCGGTACCTCTACACTGTGAGGTTGACGCGCTAACCACTGGACCACCGAGCCGCCCCGTGTGCATACGGTGTACTGTATATAATGATGTGTTCACGTACACCACGGTAAACACCCCGTAAAGTCTCGCCTGTGTTTTTCTTCTCAAAGTTTTTCCACAACACTACACGGGGCATTGATCTGTGTCTGCAGTGACAACCGGTGAACAAAGTGAACACTGCTTTTTGTTTGTCATTGCCAGAGCCGCCGAGAGTCTCTCCGTTTTGATTTGTGGTTTTACGGCCAGTTTGCGGAGAGAGAGAGAGAGAGAGAGAGAGAGAGAGAGAGAGAGAGAGAGGGACAAAGTGAGCGCGAGAAAACACACTTTCACAAAGTCACCGGGCAGGAAGTGTCGTTCCAAGTGTCCTAGTAATGTGTCTTTGCCGGGATGCATTCTTCATCCCGTCCATCCCCGAGGCCTCCAATGGCAAACGAGCGCTCCCATCTTTAAAGATTTACGTCGGGGTATTGGATGCGAGCCAAGACGGGTGTCCTATTTTGTTGTTTTGGGGGTGTGGGGGGGTGTACAAACTTTGCAATGACATACGGAAGGGTTTTATAGGACTAACTAGACACTTCTAATGAGATATCCAGCGACGGAGACAAGCTGCGCTCTCGACAAGGCGATGACCTGTCAAGAGTTTCCCAGCACATGTTGTGACCTCCTTTCACTTCCGTCTTGGCAGGAAAGTCGGGTCACACCGGGTGCCAATTAGGGGACATGGAAGCAAAAGACTCCGAGGTCAGTCGACGCTGCTCGCCGCCAGCCGAGCTCCAGACGGCTTCCTCTGATGCGACGACGGCCGCGTTTCTGCTCAGATCGCCACTTTTCATCATCAAAGAAGAATCGGAACCGATATGAACTCATTCACTCCCGTGGACATTTATACTCGCCAACTGCCATCGACGTATAATCAAACCGATTCCACTTTGGAAGATATCGAGACGCGTACCAAATCACCTTTTATCGGAGCGATACATCTTAGAAGATAACGGCACATTTATGTTACTGTTGATGAACTTCATGCAAACGAATGTACATTTTCCAAACCACATCCCGATTTAGACGTTTGGGATCCTGAATTCCAGGCACATTGAACATTCGTCATTGTCAAGTCTTTTAAGTTTTGAATGAAGGCGCCGCGACCGTAGAGCGGTCACGGTGCGCTTTATCGAGTTACGCTCGCAAAGTGGCGAGCAAACAAAAGCAACTCTGGTGTCCCAACATGCATCACGAGGCCTAATTGGCCTAATCAGACATCTAGCCTCCAGTTCTCCCAATTACAAGCTTGCGCAATTAATTGCACCGCAAATCAAAAGCGGTTTCTCATCAGTCTTTTCATCAAACACGACCGCCGATTGGGGGTGGACCTGGGGCTTCTCGGATTTTGATGCACCTGGAGATTTTTTCTTTTTAAATTTTTTTTAAACACCGTGTGATGAAACGGGGCTTTGGGCCGGGACCCCCAAAATCCACTTTGATTCTCCTTAAATCCTGCGGCTTTATCTTTAATCACCGCCGTCTCCAGAACGCAGCTAATAATCTTTTGACAAAATAATGAATTTTTAAATAAAATGGATTACTATTAATGCAGATTTTAGTGCGCCTGATCCCCCTAGGGGGGGGGAGAAAGGATGAGCCAGAAATGGATCGCTTTCGCCGATTGTTAGAGCAAAATATCTATTCGAAATGTCCTCAATGAAAATATAATTTGTCTCTTCAGAAATCATTTGCGAGCCCATTTGGCCAATTGCGGCGTACACACCCGCGGTCTCAGGTACACGCTCAGCGGCTAACGGGACGATGACGAACGCAACAACAGTTTTCAGGGTTGAAACTGATTTTGGGCATGACACAATCGCTGAACGGGTCGCTCGCTCAAATCATCAACGAACTCGAATCAGCTCAGCCTTTTGAATGGAATCAAATCGTCATGGTCATCACGGCCTTGGTTGACATCACAAGGAGGATTATGACCTCGCCAGATTCAGGCCGACGAGAATATATTCGATAAAACTCAATGTTTTGCTGGGGTACAATCGCATCTGGATGCACTCCAAAGCTAGCGATTAAAAGACCAGCCGTCGCTCCTCAACGGCTCTTTTTATACGTTTCGGCGTGCCCAACAGTACCGTTGACACATCGTCATTGAACATCATCTGCAACTAGATGACCAACGCAGTCATCTCGTCTTTTTATTCCGCCTTTTGGCATCGTTGTAACCTTCCGCCTTTCATCATCCTGTAGATCGCACCACACAGACACACACTAACAGTTCTAAACATAGTCTAGGTCAGGGGTGCCCATGACTAGATCAGGGATGGCACTTGCATAGAATGGCAATCTAGACAGCCCAGAGAAGCATTTTAAAACGGTATGCGTGAGCTACGATCGTTAACAGGCTGCAAAAGTGCGTCGCACGCATCCGCGTCAGGTCTCCCACTAAGGTAGGCAGTGATATCCTTTTCACAAGCTCATAAACTCTTGTGTCCGTTTTATTGTTCTGTTTTATTCATCTTAGGGGACGTTATAGCTGATGTTCATCATGGCACGCGTGAGTAAGGGCGTGCATATGCGCCCGTGCGCGGTAACGGGTCGATCGCGGGAGGTTGGTTGATCAAAAAGTAGAACTGCAGTCCAAAAAGTTTGGGCATCTCTGGTCTAGATCGCAGAGATGAAACATATTGGTAGAATAGCATCTGTATCAATTTAGATTTTTTTTTTTTTCCACACCGCCATTTGGCAACTTTTCAACCCTCAGACGGGTATGCGAACGGTACTAAATATAGATCATACAGATAAATGATCACGTATATTACCGGCCTGTAATTCACTTAGGAGCCGGCCAAAAGGGGAAGAGCTGATTTAATAGCGCTGAGATAGCCTTTAGCCAGCTGGGCAGCGCAGGTTGGGGGGCGGGGGAGGGAAATTGTATTAAAAAAAGAAAGAAAATGTCCAAGTGTCTTTTCTTATCTGACCAACGCACATCCGCAAGAACGCTGATTGCACTTTTCTCAAGTGACGTCGTTATTACGGCCAAGGTGAAGCGGGGTGGCGACAAAGCAACGGACTGCGCCCTGCAAAAACTCGGCTTGAAATGAGAAATATATGACTTCAATTCAGCAGAATTATCCGCCAATGGAATTCTTTCGACAGCGCCCTCGGACAACATCTTGTCTTTGCTTTCACACATGCACGCGACAAAACTAGCTTGTCTCGTTGGTCGGCTCACTGGTGCCTCAAACCAAACTGTGGCATGTTTTTTTTTTAAACTTTCTAGACCTGGCTCTATCACCTCTGCCCGTTTCCGAGGTTGGTGGGTTCGAATCCGGGCTCCAGGCTTCCCGTGTGGACTTTGCATGGCCTTGAACGAGAACGGCGCAAGTGGCTGAAACTTACCGATGAAGTAGGCCAGCAGGAAAAGCAGCGTGACGGAGACCAGGATGGCGCTGAGCGCGGCGCATTTCCAGTTGCAGTGCTTGTAGGGCTTCTTCAGGCTGAAGGCGGGGCGGGAGAAGGTGCTGCGGGGGAGGGGCCGCGGGGGCGGCGAGTACACCGTGCTGGAGGTCAGCGGGTACCCCGGCGACGTGGTGCAATACATGGGCGAGGTTCCGCCTGGCTTGAACAGGAAGTGCCTGCGGGAAGGAAAAGTGGCTCGAGTTCACGTCAACGCCAACTTGTCAATTAAGTGTGATTGTGTTGCCAGGTACACTCTGTCCCTTCGCCATGGTAACCCTCCTGCTGGATGAGTCGCGTGATATTAGACTCACCAAAGCATTATGTTTCATTGTGCTGGATGTTGCAATTGTTTCGAAGAAGTTTTTTTTTTTTTCGCTTTTTGAAATAGTATCAATTCAAAACTTTTTTTTTTTTTGCTCTCGCTCTCTGGTCAGCCGGGCACCAAATGGCCCACGGACCGAGACCGCTGGTTCGGGATCGTTGCACTAGACTTTGCTGAGTGAAACTAATTTTTTTCCATATTGGCGGCAACGCCTCGAAGAGTAATTCCCGGGAAGCGCAGGAGTGCGTGTCAAGGCTATTCCTTCGTCCTTTGAGGGAAGCGTCCGGGCCGCGTCAGACGGGCCGAACGAGTGGTCCGTCAGAGGCGGCCGCGTCGCTGTCAAGGCCTTTTTACTGACGCGTTTACAAGAGGCGGACGCGATTAAATGGCACATTACGGCGTGCCACGAAGGACAGGACTGGGAACGCGTGCTACCTTTAAGCACAGGGGCGGGGCGGACACACGCCAGCACAGCTTGAGGAGTTATGACGGCCATTTTTCTCCACGCCTTGGGAAAGAGACGACATCGACATCCAACCCGACAACGTCACATTTAATCCTTTGTGCTGCACTCGTCGGAGCACAGTACTGGAAATGGAGGCTATTGTGGATTCATTAAAACTGCCAATCGTGATAAACGGGCCCTGGCTGCTCCTTTTTGAAATGGTCATGAAGCGCCATGCTCCGCCCCCTCAAAAATGATTATTTCGTACAAATAATGTATTTGTTCATCTATTGATGACAGGTGAAAGAATGAATCGCTTTTTCACGACCACGCCATTATTTTAGAATTACTCATTTTTGTGGCATTTTCATTTCGTGGGATGCTGAGGGAGTTTTTCAAATACAAAATACTGTATGTCCCTTGGAATCAATAAAGATTGAGAAAATCTGGCTTCCGAGTGGGGGCGAAAAGCATTTTGGGCAATTTGTCCAGTTGGAGATCGTCAGTGTACGCAGCCCTGGAGTTTGCCCACAAAGGTCAACTTATTCCTAAAATTTGAGTGGATTGGTCAAACTAAAGCGTGTTCGGAATCTCAGGCTGTTACCGAGTGGGATATACATATGTTTTATGTGCGAGGTTAAAGAAAAACAAAAAAAAAATTAGCAAATGGTGTCAACCTTCTTCAGTGTCTAAAATGGCTGTTTTAAACCAATATGGCCAACTTCCTGTTAAATTCCATCCAAGACCTTTTGTCTTCAGCACCCGTTGCATCCTGTTATGTATTTGTTTTGCATTCTTTTGTAATCGCGAACAGGCTTTCGTCGCTTGTGTTTGTACGTGCGCACAAAAACTACTTAAGCGTGAAATCCAATTAACTGATTGGTTTCAGAATGGGATAAAGGTGCGGATCTCGGAATTTTGGTAAGTGGATTATAGCCACTTACGTTGGGCTGCCTCACCCTGTGTGGGGGGGCTCCCAAATGGGCTGGGGTGTGAAAATGTGGAATAACAATCTTACGTTTGACAAACTTTAAACTATTTGCACGCTATTTAGTAGTAGTAGTATTTAGCTGTGTGTGCGCGCATGGATGTGTGCCAAAAGGTCATCGCTCCGACATCTCAATTCCAATAAAACGACACTCGCTGTAGTGCATTTAACATGACACACACTTTGATCATGGATCAATCACAAACAACAATAACAACAGCAAACTCTATTTTTTTCCCCCTAATTCTTTCGCGCTTTTTTTCGCCGCTCAACCCGAGGGGCCAATCTACATCCGTCTGGCATTACTTCTTCTGTCCTTGGCAGAGGCCCACGCCCTACTGAGAGTCTTTCTCGGTATGGTTATTTTTCTTTACCGATTGTCCAAGAGAAAATAATGTGCTTCCGTTGCCTCACAATCGGACATGCGGGGTCCGTTTTGCACGCCCTCTTAAGTTAGCGATTATGCTTCATTATCCGCTCAAGGGCTACATGGGGACGGATTGAGCTCCTGGCACACAAACACAAACACGCAGACACGCGCACATACACGGATGGCATTTCGAGAGCAGAGAATGTGTGATGGAAACATAGCGCAAGGCATTGGCGACAGAAGCGTGGCAAGCATGCGACCTACCCGTCGTCGTAGGCGCCGTCGCGGCGTGAGGACGCCAGTATGTCCATCTCAATGGGGTTGTCCTGTAAAGTCTCAAGGAATGCCTGCTTTGCTATGTTTCTACACACAGGCGGAGAGATGGATATGAAGCCGCTGGTGAGATGCGCGTGCGGGGCAGCACAAAGAAAATACAGTGTTCCGCTCAACAAGGACAGACGGCATGGGTCATTGAGCACCTTATGGAACTACTACAACTACTACGACTACGACTACATCAAAGGCGGGATTTGCCTCCGCCCATCATTTGGGCACGCCGGCCTACCTGGTTTTGTACGAGCCCTGCCCTTCTCTGCAAGCGTCTTGCTCCTCTCTAATAAACATTAGAGTATTCTGGCTCCTTGTAAGGTTGTGGTTGGAAGAGAACAAGGTGTCACGAGCAAATAGGAAACCTTAAGATGGCTAATCGAGAAGAGCGATGGCTTGGAATATTGCCGCTAGCGGTGTGTCATCCCCCGGCTAAGGCGTCACTCATAAGCAGAAAGGAGAATAGTTTGGAGGTAGGGTAGTGGGGTACACAGGCAACCAATGGGCGACACCAGGGAACAAGGGGAAGGACATATGGGATACAAATGGGGCGTGGAAGACAACAGGGACACGGCATAAGGTCCATTGGGGTAAAGTTGGGGGGGGGGGGCAAGCAAACTTGGAATACACAAGAGACGAAGGTGAAGGACGTACGGTAGGTTAATGTGGTACATCAGGAAAAATCAAAACAAAACAGAACACATTAGAAACCTAGCTGAAGTCAATAAAGTAACGGGGTTAAGAGGCGACAAACACAACGCGTAAGACATTTGAGGCAAGGTAACGGGGTCCAGGTGGGGGCACTGAACGTGAAGGACAAAGGGGAACGGGGCACACGTTTTTGGGTTGTTTTTTTTTTTTTTGTGGTGCACATTAAACCTCTCAGGGAAACCGATGTCCATCTCAATGGGGTTGTCCTGTAAAGTCTCAAGGAATGCCTGCTTTGCTATGTTTCTACACACAGGCGGAGAGATGGATATGAAGCCGCTGGTGAGATGCGCGTGCGGGGCAGCACAAAGAAAATACAGTGTTCCGCTCAACAAGGACAGACGGCATGGGTCATTGAGCACCTTATGGAACTACTACAACTACTACGACTACGACTACATCAAAGGCGGGATTTGCCTCCGCCCATCATTTGGGCACGCCGGCCTACCTGGTTTTGTACGAGCCCTGCCCTTCTCTGCAAGCGTCTTGCTCCTCTCTAATAAACATTAGAGTATTCTGGCTCCTTGTAAGGTTGTGGTTGGAAGAGAACAAGGTGTCACGAGCAAATAGGAAACCTTAAGATGGCTAATCGAGAAGAGCGATGGCTTGGAATATTGCCGCTAGCGGTGTGTCATCCCCCGGCTAAGGCGTCACTCATAAGCAGAAAGGAGAATAGTTTGGAGGTAGGGTAGTGGGGTACACAGGCAACCAATGGGCGACACCAGGGAACAAGGGGAAGGACATATGGGATACAAATGGGGCGTGGAAGACAACAGGGACACGGCATGAGGTTGATTGGGGTAAAGTGGGGGGGGGGGGGGCAAGCAAACTTGGAATACACAAGAGACGAAGGTGAAGGACGTACGGTAGGTTAATGTGGTACATCAGGAAAAATCAAAACAAAACAGAACACATTAGAAACCTAGCTGAAGTCAATAAAGTAACGGGGTTAAGAGGCGACAAACACAACGCGTAAGACATTTGAGGCAAGGTAACGGGGTCCAGGTGGGGGCACTGAACGTGAAGGACAAAGGGGAACGGGGCACACGTTTTTGGGTTGTTTTTTTTTTTTTTGTGGTCGACATTAACCCTCTCAGGGACACCGGTCACGACAGCGGACAGCTTATCAGGTTATCGGAGTGCATGAAAGGGTTAAGGCGATAAAAGACCGACATTGTATTTTTTGTTGGTCAACGCTTTTAAACACAAGCTCACGAGCCTTCCTGAATAGGCTCCACCCCCCTGACTGGTAAAACCAATCACTTTCGGATGCCTTTGTGGCTTTCACGGCCAGTCGGATAATTGTGAAACTGGAAGACCAATTCAAGGGGCAGAAAAGCAAGGTCTCCAGTCACACCAGTATGTCATAATAATGTCCAATTTTTGCGCTGAATGTGTGTGAGACCGCGAAGGTATCTGTGCACGGTGACTAGCTGAGTGATGGGGGGGCAGCGGAAGGAGGGAGACGATTGCCAGTGTGTCCGCGGGATGAAGGCTACGTGGTTGTTTTCTCTGCCGACGGTAGTCGTTCATTTATAAAATGAGGTTATTGATCGACCACCGCCGGTCTTTGTTACATGACAGCGCAGGCGCTACGATTTACTGTCATAGTCAGCAAGGGACTGCTCTACCGATGTCATTTATTTATTTTTTTTTTGTTACCGTTTGGTGCGCCAACCACCGCCACCTGTTGATGTCAGCGAGGCGGCCCTTTATTGATTGGCCATTAATTGACCTCAAGCTGTAACTGTCATTGCAGAGTAGTAAAGTCAAGTAGTTGACTAGTCAGCTCAATACCTGGCCCAAATGAGAACGGAAGCCACAAGGGACAAAGATGAAGGTTTTAGGGTACTGAATAACGGAAGAGTACGAAGGACTAAGGGAACATGATGGACATAAACAGTCGAATCTCGTTACCTCGAGGGACGTAACGAATCGATTCGGTAGTTCGTTGTCACCATTTCCAATAAAATGGCCGCCAATTACGACAAATGAACATGTCAATTACACATATATGTGTATGAAGAAAAAAAACAATGGCATGAAACAAACAACTGTAGCATTCCGACGTCATCTCTGAAAACAGTCAGCAAACTTTGCCCGCCAAAGCCGACTGTCGTCAATTTACGTCGTCTCGGCTGAGCTTCCTTTCGAAAGCGAGAGACAATTTCAGCCTTCGCAGACAGCGAGATTTGCTTCCATTTACCAGACCATGTGACCAGGACCGCGCCGTGCCTTCGTGAGTTACGGGCAGAAAGTACAACAACGTACGGAGTCAATCAGTAGCGTTGCTAGGCAACTAGGGGAATCGCCGCGCTATATGTACATTTTGTTCCTAAGCGAGGTCGCGGCGGCAGTAAGCTTCGTTGTCACAGAGGCCTTTGCACTATTTGGTGGGAAAAAAAAAATCTGGTCGTTATCATGAAGTTGCCGTTGTTAAGGTGTTCGTCGTGTTCGACAAATGGAAAATAATCGGCGTGAATCCGGGACTTTGAAATGTGAACGCTATAGGGGTGGAAACGTAAACGGGTTACGTTGGAACGAGGTTCGACTGTACTGGCGTACGGAGACGATGAACGGAACACGGCGGACCTTAGGGAATCGGCTACATCAAGTGGGTGACAAATGATGAACGGAAGATATTAGGGAAAATGACGTGCAGCGGGGCAATGGCGTCCTCAGACAACACACAGAAGAAAAAATGGAAGACAAAGTTGAGGGACGTTAGGTAACGGGGTACACGAGGGACGAAGGGAGCAAAGTGGAAGCGGGGAAAATATGCAACATCAAATGAAATTCGGGAGACGGGGCGGGAGACACGAGAGGCGACGTGTTTAGCACCGCCATGGCTTTGCGGGGACGACATTTGCAAAAGCAGCTTGTCACCGCGATTGCTCGCACATGAGGAAGCAGCCTTAATGAAGGTTGTGCACAAGCCTCGCCGAAAGGCACATTTTCAGTTCATGCTAAAGTTTCCCGCACGGCCTCGTCCGTTCCGTCAGCAAACAACGATGGAGGAACGGACCGTTCACATGCGACGGGCTGCCGCTCCAAGAGAAAAAAAGTCCGGCTTTTGAAGTCTTTTCACGGGCGAGGAATGCAGCTTTTAATGAGCGCAGATACCTGGGCCCAGGGGAGAAAAAGACCGGGTTGGATACGAGATCGGAATGTGACCGAACGCCACGGAACATTCACATTTGGATTCCGAGGGCCACTGTCACGCTCTCAGCTAGCTTGTTAACAGCCGCATACAAAGTTTGGGGAAAGGGTTTCACTTTTTTTTTTCCGTTAAAAAAAAGCGCTCTTGATGAGCCACGGTTACTCGGGGCGCTCGATGACGACCGCAATTTGAAAATGTGTCCCAAATGATCAACTGCCTTTTCATCAACGATTCAAAATAATACCGATATTGTCACGTTAGGCTTTAAAACGGAGCCATCAGATTTTGCGACATCTTTTTTTTTCCAAAAAGTTTCCACAACAATAAACACATGAACACATTCATCAGGCAAGATGAGGTCATCGCGAAGCGAGTGGCCGCTTCTCTTGATTTGCTCGGCCGTGGTTCTAATGAGACGAGGATGACACCGGATGGGCGCACTTGACGTGAGGCCCCGCGATTCGCGAACACGGCGCCGCGCCGCCACGCGCCGGCTGATTAACGCGCCGTGAATACGAGTCGGCGCCGCTTTTCACTTGGCGTCCTGATGTGATTATAATTGAGACCCGGCCGCGTCGCCACGGTTACCAAACACAAAAACAAAAGGCCCAAAGCGGCACTTTTCTCTTGTTAGTCGCTCTCGTCAGTGTTGACATCGCGGCTGACAGAGTGGTCCTCATTTCATCGTCCCTTGTTAACGGCAGACTTCAATAATGAACTCAAATGTCACCAAATCAAGGCCAAGTATGCTCATTCTTTGTCCACCCAAATATTTCAGAACTATATTATAAAATGCTATTAAAGGTTTAGCACTGGATACGGCTGGCTATGTTTACAGTTTTTTTTTTTGTTTTTTGTGGGTCTGTCGCTATGGACACAGAGGCGCACTTTCTTTTTTT